ATCCTGAAAAGCCAGCTGAGTTTTATAGCACGGCGGAATATGGCCCTCAGCATTCGGTCACACCACAGTGCCTTCAGAGTGGCAAGGATGTCAGCAAGTTAACTCCATTTCATCCTAGAGGGGGCAGAAGGAGATTTACAGTGACAAATTTGGTGTGGCTTTGTGAATTAAAATGAGGCCACCGTTGAGCACATATGACTCTAGGGCTGGGAGAACACAATGGGACATCCCTCTTGCTTAGGCCCTCGAGCAAGGGAGCCAGGACAATTTCCTAAAAACGCTAAAAGCCTTTTCATTGGACCAGATAATAAGCTCAGCGAGGACTGTGGTCCTGGAAGACCTCACCAGTGGTGTGGACTGCAGTCCTGTGCAAGGAGAGCCAGGCTGGACCGGCTTCCTGGAACCAGGCAGGCAAGGGCCAGGCCTGCTGTGCTCAGACTGAAAGGCCGCATGTCCCTGAGGGAAAGCCTTTCCCGAGGAACAATGCCCTTTTCCATGTCACTCTGGATTCCCCAAAGCTTAGAGGGATGAATAGGAGGAAAGCTTTCTTTTTATTTATATTTAACTTTTCTGCTTTGTTATTCTTTTCCCAAGCTCCCCAGATTTAAGGGTTGCGATAGTACTCTGGTTCTCATCTGCAAAGGGGCTCTCCGCTCTGCTTTGAGTGCCTTCTTTAAAAAGCACTCCTTTCCATAACCCCCAGCTGTCAATAATAACAATCTTCGGGTTGGGTTTGGGTGTCCCATTTCCCTTGTCCAACTTAAACTACATATTCTTCCAAGCAGCAAATGTGTTTCAACCCAAAGTGCCACATAAATTCACTGTGCTGTGTAAAAGCATTTTTAACCAGGGCTGGACCCACTTCCTACTTTTCTTGGCAAACCATATCTTTGCCTGAAATCCCACTTTTGACCCCCTTTACCTTTTTGTGAATATGCCTCCCATCCTGCCTGCACAACGCTCACCCCAAAACCTCAGAACAGTTCTAAAAATTAAATATTTTGATTCTTGGCCTCTGGTTCCCACATTCGGTGACTCTGAACTCCGGTCCTCTCCTCTGCCAGGTAGGGGCCACCTTTCTGCAAAGCAGAAAGCCATTCCCTTGGCTTTTGAAATGTTGCCCAAGCGTCCAAGTGAAGATACAGTTCTGACTCAAATTTCCTTTGCTATCAGTAAAAACCCATTCCCGTGCCTGACATCAAAGTGCAATGGTCTGCCTGGTTCCCAAAGGACATGCTTCATTCAGCCTGTGATGAATTCTGGTTCGATTAACCAACAAACCTGAGCATTTATCACTCCAGCGTAGCCTGAAATGAACTTCTGTTTTGATTTTTTCAGTCTAGCCACTGAACCACAAAACCAATCCGTCCACAACACTCTCTTTCCGAACAATAAATAACACCAGCCTTGCTGCCCAGCACCACAGCCAGGTTCCCGGCGCTGGTCCCCACCTCGCTTCACCTTTCCCAAGGTCAGCTTTCCCCCAGTCCAAGCAAGACAAGACAGAGCTGACACGCAGCAAAGCCCAAGGCTTACTCATCGCCTTCCCTTACACAGCAGCTTCCCTTGCTGCAAGGAAAGCAGCCGTGGTGACCTCTGAGTCCTCCTCACTAGGCAACCACACGCTGGGTCCACCCAGCACCAATGGCTTCATTGCCATCTTCGCTTCCTCCCCATGGCCCACCCTAGCCCAGCTCCGGCAATTAGAGAAGGTGTTAATAAGCCCTTTCAGGAGGAAGAGAGGAAAGGAGCCCGGGAGAGGAAGCCTTGCTGGGGGAAGGGAAGAGACATTCCTGCCTCAGTCATCATGCAACTTTCCCCTTCCTCTTGCTCACTCCCTTGCTGACCTTTGGCTGAGTCTGCCAAAGCTATAAAGGAAAAGGGAAAAGAAAAAAAAAACAGAGACAGAGAAACTGAAAAGCAAGGCAGGCTGAAAGGACAGGCAGAGACAGAGACGTTATCTTGCCTCTAATAATGATTTATTGTCAAAGAATGGCTGGATGGAGGCAGAGAGAGCTAAGCGCACACTTTTGTAGGCAGCGGAGAGAGGATTTGCTGTGGGACATCCAAGGAGGCAAAGTCAGGAGAGGCAAAGACATGCACACACACACGCTGAATAGCAGGAAGGAGAAAAAACTATGATGAGAGCTACTAAAGTATGCAAACCTGTCCTGAGGCAAGTGGAGGAATTCCCATGGCTGTTGGTCATTCCCAAACTGGACAAGCCATGAGGACACATAATCCTGCCCTGGCAGGTGGAGGAGGGGATACCAGCCCACCTCACACATTTCACAAAGCTCACCAAGGGTTTTAAATATGCGATGCATGTCTAAATACCCCAATCAGCTCCAAAGATAACAACCACAGTTCCTGCAACACTATGGTAGGCTTTAACATCCCTGGATGAAGACGGAGAGACCTTGGGAGCTCATCTCATCTGCCTTCTTCACCACAGCAGCATTGCTCAGCTACCCCTCGCAGCATCGTTTCTTTGGCATGCACCAAATGCATATTAAAGAGGAGCTCAAGCAGCCTAGGCCCCAAATATGGTTTATGCAGCTAAAGGAGACAAATGATGGGGATGGAGATGCTGTGCTTTAAATTATGGTGGTGTTCCTCACCTGGACAGAAACAGTCTAATGGCTGAAAGGGACAGTACTACTTCCTCTACCTCCTCCCTCTTCTCCCAGCTGCCTGCTCCTCTCTTGCATTGGCTTTGGTACTTAGCTGATCTTCTGGTGAACTGGTTCAACTCACCGAAGGAGCAGAGCATTAACCCAGTAAACTCCCAATCCCTGCTGATTCAGGGAGGGTGAACGAGCTCCTGAGGCCTGGAGAGGGGCCAGGAGAGGGGCTGTGCTGGGAGATGAAGAGTAGAGGATGTAGAAAGGGGACAGTCTCTTTCAACACTCTGAGCAATTAAAGTTTCCACTGTCTCGTGGAGCATTCAGTGGGGCTGGACTGCACAAATGTCCCAGTCCTTTCCTGGGTGCAGCTGGAAGAGCTCCATAACATCTCCTGGACTATTCCTGCCAGACACCTTTAACCCCAGAGGATTCTAGCTGTTGCTGCTCCTAAGCTGCAGGGAAGTATTAGACTCTGTCCTCAAAGATTCTAACCTGCCAGGAGATCCCAAGGTGGTGTGTGACTTTATTTTGTGTGTAAAAAACCCATCACAGGTTGCACTAACTTTTAAATTTTCAAATATAAATCCCGTTTATTGCTATGTTGTTGGCACGGCTCTGGCAACTGTTTTAGAATTTGCCACCCATCACCGATGACAAATAGCTGGTCCCATTCCCATGGGCTGGCCCTGTGAGACAGGATTAGCTGACTGTAGTAAAAAACGGCACCAACACAAAAACCCAACCCAGAGCCATCGAACGGAAACAGTGTGAGTCAAGGTCACAACCCTGCAGAGCAGGACAGTCATGGATCAGTCATCTCAGGGCAGGAAAGCTGGCAGGGCTCGCCAACATCAGTTTAAGCTGTAGAGTGTTATTCTCCATCAAAAGAAACCATTTGGACAGAGTTGTCCTGCATAGGAACAGAGACATCTTTTTAAAAAGCAAATTTATGGACAACAACTTGATGTAATTAGTAAAGGTTTTCTATGGGACTTTCCTGCAGCAAAAAATACCACTGGTACAGGAAATTCATTTGCTGCTGTCCACATGTCCTTCCATGTGTCTTCAGATTGCTATTCACTCCCCATGTCCCAGTATGATGACAGGGAGGGAACAAGACATCATGGAGGGCAGACAGGAGTGAGCAGAGAAAAACTGTGGGAGAACCAGGCCTGGATTTTGTCATGACTTTGATGGGAAGCCAACAGGAATGGGGACTTTGTTAGGAGCCAAGATCTTCCCGATGAGGTGACGCATACTGCTGTGGGTAGAGATTTTGGGGAAGTTATGCTATTCTTAGCTTCTCTTTCCTCTCCTGGATATTTGTGCCTAGACAAGATTACCGGAGATTTTTTCATTGTTACAGTCACTGTCTGTGAACTCTACTCACAGTATTACTGTGAAGACCAAATGTTCATACCGTGTTTGCATTCAGACAAAACTTTCCATGTGCGTAAAAAGTCGTTACTGACAGTTCTTTCCCCTCTCCTTTCTTTGCCCAAGGTCTGGAGTAGAACTTATTTTGCAGTAAACTATTTATGGCCCAGCAGAAGCACTACTGACCATTTGAGATTCACAGCTCCATTCCTGGGCAACAAGACAGATTTTCTAAGAAAATCTTCTACAATCAACTGCAGAAGACAAAAACATCTTTAAGACTGGATGGTGAAAAGTTCTCTCTCATTCTTCTGAACATTAACACTTGAGTTTCATTTTATATTTGTCCCCATTTAGATTTCTACCACCAGACCAAACCACGCTCACCATCATCAAGAATTCAGTCACTGAAACGCTCCCATCTCACTGCCAGGGCTTGGTTTCTACTGCACTAGGCTGGGAGTAATGAGATCTGGGACCTTTCCCCCTCTCTGTCTTCGAGCCATTGCATTTCATTTATATCTTTCCTCCCCTCAGTCTGTTTTGTCTATTCAGACCGTAAGATTGTCAGTTCCTTAGGTCAGGGACCCTCTTCCCTGACAAGTTGCATCGTTTTGGTATAGTGCCTAACGTAAAAGCTATCCATCCTCTTCTTCCTGGGCACCTCTCTCCTCTAGGAAACACTCCTGGACGTTCAGCTGTCCTGGGCAGTTTGGAGGGGGTGGCTTCACCTACTTTTAAGAACCATGACGCTCCCTTGGTAAGGGTTTTTTGCAACGCTGGGATTTGCAAACCGAACCTTGAACAAAGGAACCTTGGAACATGTGTTTTTAACTAGTAGAATCACAACATGCAGGAAAAGCCAACTGTCCGTGCAGACATAGGCACTCTTAGGGTGAGGAGCTTTCACACTCACAAAGCATATATCAAGGAACCGTTACTGTCACTCAGTGGCTTAGTCCATAGGTGGAAAAGGAAAACCTTTGATGGCATTACCTCCCTGAGGCAGGTATAAATGGGACAGACAAGGACTCGAAAGGGCTCTCCGGTGCTGCTCCTCATGGTGCCGAAGACTTCGCAGAGGAAGGTGATGAAGCCCAGCCAGCGCTCCACGTCCCGCTGCTGCAACTCCTCCCTCATGGTGAAATCCTTCTGCAAGAGGGATAGAGACAACAGGCTGCATCAGCAAAACCGCAGTGCCACGGGAGAGGCAACGGCTGTCTGGAGAGAGAATTAAGAGGAAATTGAAACTTGGGGTGGGGGGAGAAAGAGAGACAGACTGACTCTTTAGTAACAAGCGAGGAGATTACTCAACGCAAGCGGAGTGGAATTTCAACACTGCAAAGCCACCAAAAAGCAGGTACTGTAGAAATAACAACAACCTCTGCAATAACTGTCACAACCTGAGATACAGATGGCTTCCTCATTGTCTTGCCTTGCCCCCACCTCTTCTAACCTCCATTTTCCATATGCATTTTCCACCTCTCTTTTCCATATGCAAAAATAAAACTGAACAAAATCAATAACAAACAGCTGAAACGCAAGAGGTACACAATGAATGCGGGTGGCCTGGCTGGCCTTGGTGGACACCAGCTAAGTCTGCCCATGTCCTTCACTCCTTTATCTTCAGGAGAGGCAGCATTGACCATGCATCAGGCCTGGGGCTTCCCAAAGCCCCCGGCTGCTCTCCCTGGGGGTCTCATAAGATTAGAGCAGGAGACTGGCTTCCTGCTCGACCAGAAGATTGGGGAGCACAGAGTTGGCATTAAAAGGTCACCTTGCTCCTGAACTGCATGGTTGCCATGACCAAGGATTATGAGAATGACGTGATTTATGGAGCAACATCAGGACGAAGTGTGCAGTGAGCTGGTTGCCTCCCCGCCAGTCCTCCAAACACAGGGGGGGAAAAAAGGGGGATTCACTCAAAAGCAGGATATAAGAACGTGTGTTTATTGTGAAGACCAAGGGGAAACATAGAAAAGCAAACAAAACATCTTCTAGAGGGTAACACAGCTGACAGTGAGGACACAAGGGAGTGCGTGCAGCGCTCAGAGCTAAGAGCACTTCCCTGACCTCTCAGCGATGCTATAGGAGCTTCTAGCAAGATATCTCACATGACTTTGCTTATCTGTCTCCACAGTGACCTTTCCTTGTTGTTAAAAATTAGTAGATGTTATGAAGGTGGAAATTAGAGAATAAGACAAGTTCATGCTCTATAATAGCGTGTGTTCCCAATGTGGGTTGCACAACACGTTAAATCCACCAACTAAATAAATTATCTTGTATCTTTTTCATCTCAGTTTATTCTTACTGCCTGACACAAAGACGTTACTGCTCCTAATGCTCCAACCTGCAGCTGCACTCTGCACAGTCAGAGAGATATAAAAGCCACCACACCAAGGATCGTGCTCATGCCCTGGACGACACATGGGAGACACTTCTTTTGAAACAAAGGTAGGTAAAGCAGCTACTAAAGAAGGCGAGGCAAAAGCTCGATGATAATTTTCATGACACAACCGTATGTACAGAAGATCCAAGAAAGAAGCTATTTATAAGTTTCACTACAAAAGGAAAAAAAGAAAGTATTTGCATATGCAGGAAAAAGACTTGTAAAATAACTGAGCCACTTACTAACCAAACAGCGATGACTAATTCCTCTCTACACCCATTTCTACAAGGCAATTGCCCAACAGCGTCTGCAAACCTGAGATTAACCTGCAGCCAAATACTGCTGGGTCCTTTCACATTTTCTGGGGGAGGTTAAAAAGTTCTTCCTTCCATTGAGCCAGTCCCAGGGTGGTGATGGAGGAGAGAGTTAGTTGCCAGCTCAGGTTATCACCCCAGGGTTACTCAATTATCTGCTCTGGAGCTTTCACTCATTTTTTAGTGAAAAAAAATACACCTTGAAGAGAAATATCCTTCTGCAACTAAAAAACCCCAAACACCCAAGTGTTTAGACATGGGAAGGGGCTTGTCCTCCCCTTTCCGGCAGGTGAGCCTCAATCTCCTCAGGCTTTCGTGCTCACGTTGCCACAGCCCAATGGATGGCCATGCTCTCACTCTCCATGGACGAACCTCACGCCCTGACGTACCTCTCGCCAGCCCCACGATGCCCCGTGCCGTCCTCCTCTCCACCTCCAAAGCTGAAGGCTCCCTTACAAACCCCAGTTTCCTGCCTGGAAACATTTGCTGACGCACTGCTGTTTCCTGCAGGGGACCACATCAATCCGTCCTGAAAGCCGTTTAATGTTTCGGGATTGCCGGGGCACACTGGGAAATTCTTCGCTGCTCAGGATAACCGCATGAACTCTGGCACTGTGCGTTATGCAGACAAGCCAAAAACAGCCCCGTGCAAGCAGGGAAGGAAAAAAAAGTACATATGCATATCCCCTGTGGATTTGCTCGGAGAGATTCAGTGGGTCAACACACAAACTACGTTCTGTGTTTTTAAACTTCCTTAAGCAGGCAGTCCTTCTATCATCCCTAAAAGCTATCAGACACAGCCAGGCTGGGATACCTTGCAGTTTAAATACGAGATTTATGTTTTGATCATGTCCAGAGAGATGAGTTTGTTGCCAGCTCAAACACTTCAAGTAGAAAATACACCTTTCCTTATTTACTGCTGGCAGAGTACTGCCATCTGCAATAAGTAATTCATGGTCGATTACTGGGAAACTGCGGGGAAAGGATAAAAAATACCACAGCAAACTCCTCCTCTACATTTCTCCTTCAAACACACTGCTCTGCTTCACAGTCTTGCAAGGAAAATCCTTTGAATTGTGTCAGAGAAATAAATACCTGCCCTGCTTTGAGATCCAACCTGCCTGTTGCTGTTCAGATCTGAACCAAAGTATCTCTGCAGACGTTGGCTAACTGCTTGGAATGGAAAAAAGCTTTTCTTTGTTATGAGAGATGTGCCATTTTTAACTGTGATGAGGGAGACCAAATCACATGAGTCTTAGCAGAGCTGTCTTTGGTGGGATAGCAGCTGTAAGGCACCAGCCGGGGAAACCTGGAGGCTGTTCTTTATTGACGCTGAGCCTGGACCGCCCTCCCTGCCCATCACAGCAGGAGAAAGGGCCTGAAAACACTGCAAGATGCCAAAGGTTTCCCTGAGCTGCATCAAGCCCATCTGACATCTCTCGCCTTTGTGCATCAGCAGGGAGAGCCTCCCTGGAGGACCCTGCTGCTTCGCAGTGACAGCGTTTTGTCCCCTGCTGCTCCACAACCTACTGGCTCTTCTGGTGTTGAAGGTGTCCCGAGCCCTCCCAGGGGAGCCAGCTGGCCTGGCACTGATGTTGAACGCTCAGCAAAGCAGGGCCCGATCCTAGGTTGCTGCTATCCCTCAGATGGTCCAAACCACCGTGTTTTCCAGTGCTTGTGCAATTGTAACCTCCAAACAGGTTCAGGGACAACCTCAGGCCCACCTCTGCTGCTCTCTGTAACCAAGCTCTCTCCAGCTCTTTGCACTGTGGTGGCTACAGTAAGGGACACAAAATAACAGCGGCTCCCACCTCAACCTTCACCTGTCAGAGTGGTCTGAGCATCGCTTGTTGTTTGCAGGACGAGGAAGGGGAGACCAGGCCTGGCATAGGCTGCTGGTGGGAAGGGAGGCAGCACCTCATGTCCAGTTCTCACCATACAACACCACATGGGCAACACTACCCAGCAGAGACATCAAAAAAGTACTCTGTCCCTAACTTTGGTGCCACAAAAGGGTAAAACTCCAGCGAGGATGTGCCGAGAGATTTTGGGAGATGGAGACAACCTTCCGGTAGTATTTCTAAACAGAAGATGGCACACCACGCCAGCTGCATGGCATACCGATGGCCTGGGCTGCGAGGCAGCCCTGTCCCCCCTGAGGCTGGCATCGCAGCCCATTTTGACCCCGAACAGGAGACTGCTGTGAAAATCAGCTTGCTTCATTTGTGGCCTCAGGCTGGGCCAGATTTCACTTGCACTTGTGGAGTAACTCCCTCAGAGCAGAAGGAAATAGTTTGCATTTACTTTTCAGTAACCACGCTGAACTTGCCCCAGTCTGGCGCAGGTATGTCTGCATGGACGTTCCCACAGTGGCGGCAACTCCCGTAGATGGATCCCAACCGGCTTTAAAGATTCGCCCTCCCATCTCTTTTTTGCAAGGTTAAAGACAGACATCCGCAACTTTCGCCATCTTGCTGCCCTGTCAGCACAATCCACCCGTTCTATCACTAACCAAGCCTGATTAACGGTACGCTAAGACACATTTGTTAACCCACGCTAACTGTTCTTGCACACAGGCGTGCATGCACATACACATGCAATTTGCGAAACGATGGAAAGAGAAAAAGGTGCCCTCTCCTGCTTCAGTCAAGACAGAAACGTGCCCCTTCGTACAGTGCCTTTTGAAAGCGTCCACGCAACTTTAACATTAGTATTCTTAGCCTAAGAAAACTTTTTTGTTTCTTTTTTGGTAATAACCCCTCATGCCCAATTCTGTCCCTTCTCATTTCTTCACTGTAACGCGCTAAATCCATACCGGAGACCAGGTCTTGGCAAAGTCACCTTTCAGTTGTAAAAGCGGGATAGCCCTTTAACTGCTAGTTTCTGCTGCACTGAAAGAGGGCCTGGACGTCAGTGCATTGCATCCTTTTACCAGCAGCAGAGCGACAGCACGTTTCTCGGCTCTGTTCATGAAAAAAGCGCAGAAGATGGACCGCAACAAAACGTCCCTGCTCTAAGAACCCAGAGTCCCGGGACCTTCCCTGGCCCTGGAGTGAACCTGTTGACTCAGGGCTTTTGTCAAACGCCCTGCCGAGGACTATCTCTGGGTAGCGATGGCCACCCACCACTGGGGAGGAGAAACCTGTCCCAAATTCCATGAGTGCTAAGCTACTTGAGTGCATTTATTTGTAGCAAATTATTCACTTGACTCTATCCATTGCTGAAGAAAGCATGCTTAGTATTTTAGTGACATGTCATGTCTGAACAACTTTATTTAATGCAGCAACACGCATTCCCACAGTGTCCCAGAACACTTTCCACCACTAAATAATAAATAATATCCGAGATGGAAATCTCAGCAGAGCAGACTGGGGAAAACATTCTACGGGCAGATCTGGGATGAAGGCAATCTCAACGAGCAGATACAGTGCAGGAAGACTACTTCAGGC